TAGTTTAGTCCTAAAAAAGGGATGATTTGTTTTCCAAAATGCTCCAAATCGGACTCCAAAACAAAATGTACCCATTTTCAGGCTTTTTGGCGGGATTTTCGGCGGGTGTGCTATGGTGTAGTTTTTATCCTGCCATTGTATATATATATGTCATTAAACCACGTGATTACAATGTACTCATGACTCAATATTTATTTTAGGTTAAAGAGCACACTTTGCGGTTTGACAGTAAAATTATAGTCGATAGGAATATGTTACGCATAAATAAGACAGGTTTGATCTTATGAAGATAAACAGCATTTTATAAATAAAAAATATTTAACCAAAAACGGAGCATTCTAATTGTTTCGTAAACCTTTTAGACAGTATTGCTTTAAATCTGATATAAAAACAGATCAAATATGATAAATTTGAAAGCAACACTATGTTCGTATATGAAATGCAAAAAGCTGTTAGTACAATGAACCACTACATAAATAAGAATAAGCCAACTAAGAAAGCTGCTCTTTAAAAAGTTACAGACAGGCAAAATACACTATTATAAACCATTCATTTTCTTTTTTTTTCTTTTTTTGTTTTCTTTTTTTTTTGTTGTTGTTGTTGAGAAATTCGATTTTATATCTTGTTTCATTGCTTCCAAAGCTTACTGTCTATTAAAGCTATTTAGTGATCAAAAAATATTTCAAAGGGAAAGGTTGTTTGTTATTTGTGTTCGACTCTTGCGACACTTCATCATTTGGCCCACAGAACATTGCTTAATGACCAAAATCTTAATATAATGGCCTGGGAAAAAAACTCTAGACTTTGTAACTACATGTATTTATAGTTATATAGATATTTAGCCTCATTACATAGAATTCTTTTGCCCTCCCCAAAGGTTATACAATAAATTTATGACAAAAATAAACTTAAGATAATGTTATAGCAAACGACAAATGCTATATCACATAATCATTTAGCCCCCCCCCCCCCCCTCCCCCCCCCAAAAAAAAATATATATATATATATATAATGATTATATTTTATTACGTTATAGTGTATAAATGGTCACTTTATCCGTTTTAACCAAACACTTCAGCGGACGAGGTCATAAAGTATCCATGCCAATAAAAACCTTTGTGTGGTTTTAAAAGACCTCCCTGATTCTGCTCTAAATTTTTTTACCTGTTTCAATATTTAGATAGTATCAAAATAACTACTAGAAGATGGGATATTTGAATGGATACTGATTTTAAGTCATCGAAACGTCGATTCCAAAATACACTTATTTTCGCTTTTATTGTTTCTTACATTATAAATCAAGATTCTGTAAAGTGGAGTGGTGTATAATGGAAAATCTGTAAAACAATAAATTACTCTGTTGATAGTATTTAGTTTAATATATACGACAACAAACCATGAAATAGTTATATATCGATGTTGTTGGTATGATGTGTGAGATACATGATCCGATATAAAATAATTATGTACATGTATGGAGACGATAAAATGTTCCAAAACAAAATATAATTATTCGTCAAATGAATGATTCTACGAAAAGCCCGTATAACTATAGCAGCATTTTCTTTTTCAAGAAATATTGTATAAGACTATCGAAATGATACATTCCCATTGTTTTTATCAATATTTGAAATTCTAATGCTCATTGTGCCTTTTGTGGACCAATCTACTTTAAAAGAATTTTATTACACTAAGTTTGCCTGAAAACTGCAGCTAATGTCATTAGCATGTACACGATAACCAATCAAATAATAAATTTATTAGAATATATAATATTAACAGGGGTACACACATGACATTTACACGAACGGCAAAACAAGTACAATATAATCTCTTTTCTTCTTGACAACATATATTCATGTACACTCAGTGATAATCATATAACTACAATCATTTTATACTGGTGTAAAATAATAAGAAATAATTAAAATACATGATAGATTCATAAAAATACAGCACGTTTGTGTTATATAATTGTAAAATTACAAATTGATTTAATTATTTACACACAAGAAGTGCTCTGCTTTATTAATTCTTGTATTAGCAAGATCTAGGACAGTTAATATGGTCGCGACCGTTTATGCATGGCATGTCAGAAAGCGTTAATACTGCACAATTCCTCTGTTTTAGGATATCCAATTAACACGAAGTTACAAAAATGCAGTATAATTGCTAAATGTATTGGTAATTTCTTGTTAAGCCCCATAGTACATGTATTTCAAATTTAGAAAGGTTTGAAATTATAATTATAAACAAGCATTACTATAATAAATCGCCCATTCAATAACTTATAATATCTTAAAGAATAAACGAATAAATATGAATATCTACGAAAAGTATATATAAGAAATAAATTTATCAATTCATTCATGTGGAAGAACAATGCTTTAAGGTAATGTCAACTTTAACGTTTTTTCCCATTAAAATGGTCGTAAAATAACTATATTAATTGTTACAAAGTCATAAACGTGGTAATTGAAGAAAACAAAATATACACATATTGTCAAAGAGTATATTCAATGCATGTTATATGTGTTAATCAATACATGCAATCAATTATATGAGATAAAATAATGAAGCCCTACTTGATGTAAAGAGTATGGAATATAAAGAAAGCATTGATGCCCTACATAGAGTAAAGAGTATAAATGATACAAAATATGTGCCCTATATCAAGATATGTAAATGAAAGGTGAACATATACGTCCTATGTTAAGTTAAGTAAACTGATTCGAGTTGAGCGAATAGAAGAATTGATTAATAATTTAACTTTCATCGAATTAAGAAAAAATGGTATACAAAGGGATTTTCTACGTCTCACCAAGAGAATGAGATATGCAAAAATACATGAAAGATGCACAAAATCTCAGTAAGTTAACAAAATTAAAGATAAAAAAATTGCATTACATCGAGTTCTGTAAATTAAAGATGAAATGATAGTTGCCTGACATGAAATAGAAATTTTCTCAGATACAAACAGATGATTTACATCGAGGTATAAAAAATGAATTGATACAAATAGTTGTTTACTATGCAGTTAAACATAAGTGGTGATAAAAAATGTTCAATAGGAAAATATACAGTAGTTGCAATAGTATAACGTTATTTTATTTATTGTGTAAGCAAAGTTATGATGTTTTGAATGATTTGAATATATATAAATCGTTTTGAAACCAATATAAGAATCGAAAGTCATTAGCAACACACAATATTATATATATTTACACTCTTGCGTCCAAGGTGTTATTTGAAAGGCCCAATGAAATGAAATTATTTTTATTTCACAAATTATTAAAGCTTTTTTGTTTTTTGGAGTACTTTAATAGTTCCAAAAAGATTACATATTGGCCAATTACCATAACCATCTTTTTCTTCTGTGGCATTTAGTACGGTTATAGCGATTAAGTATTTTGTATAGAAGTCAAAATACAACTTTGTTTACTATTTTGCTTTTTTTTCTGACAAATTATTTCACATTCAAAGCGACTGTCCTCGCGTAATAAGCATATAATATGCTCTATATTCATTATTCAAAGGTTTAAAAAAAACGTTTGTTCTTTGAAAAGAAAAAAAATACTCGTTTCTGGGTAGTACTGTGCTTTAAATGATGTTGTTCATGATGATCATGATGATGATGATGATGATGGTGGTGATGATGATGATGATGATGATGATGATGGTGGTGGTGATGATGATGATGATGATGATGATGATGATGATGATGATGATGATGATGATGATGATGATGATGAACATGATGATGATGAACATGATGATGGTGAACATGACCGTCATGATGATTGTTCGGAAAATATCACAGAATTTGCAACTACTAGTTTTGATTGAACATCATCTCTTTGCGGTTGAGGAATGATTTGTGGATAGATCCTTCCAATCTTACCAGACAGAGCTTTTCTGAACAACTCGTCCTGTTTTGGTAGAATCTTTTCATGGGCTGGATCATAGTTCCCTTACTGTCATAGACATGGATGCTATCTGTTCCAAACACGTTGTCAGCTCGTACAATCTTTTATCATTTTGTGCATTAAGCAAACTGGCTGTGGTAAGTTCCAGCTCATTTCTTAGGCCAATGATGAGAGAGTTTTCTTCAAATGCGTATCCTCAGTTTTTCCTCCAGTTCCTCGATGTTCCTCTGCAGTATGCCCATTTGTATCTCTGTATTTGTCTTTTCAACTTTCAGCTCCCTGTTTTCTTTTACAGCCTCTTTATAATTTTGCAACGTTTCGTTTTGTTTCTCTAAAGTTTCTACTGATTTCAAAAACAGAACATCATGTTCTTTCTTCAAAGAATTCAATTCATATTCTTTATTCTTTAGATCTAATCCATTCACATAAAAATTCTCGCTGATTTTCGGTATTTCAGCCTCCTGTGAAGATCCGTGACAATTAAATTGACGATGCTGGGCCTCAAATGTGTTTAATGTTTTTCTCAGTCCTGTGAGTTCCTCTGATTGTGCTCGAATATGGTGTTTAGCTTCGGTCAATTGTCTGTTTAGGTTTGTATTTTCTCTTTCCAATTCTTGTTGATAGCCAAATTATTAAAAACATCTTATTTTTGGTGCTCTATTTCAGTTTTCAAAGGGTTATTCTTAAGGTATTAAAACTGAGATATATTTTGCTGCTTTTGCATTTTTGCAATAAGATCAGTTAAGTTAACTAGTATTTTGAACGGAAGTTAAAGTAATTGATTTTATTTGGCCACCTTAATGACAAATTCAGTGCTTTTCAGTCAGGTAATAAGCTTAATGCGTTTGCTTAATCCATTATTACAACATTATAAAACAAATATTTGCCCTTTCTACGCATGTAAAAATATTCGTATTTATTGCTAATGTGCCTTTAAACAATCAAGAATAAATTTGATATTAAATAAGAATTTGAGATAAGACACATGCTATCATTAACCTTACACGTAGAACTTTTTGTGAACATTCATACGTCATAATGTGAAATGTAGATTGATAAGAGCATTAATTCACTAATACCATTCCTAAACATTATCACAATGGTTCTACTCAAAGCTGTGTTCGTTTTTCTGTTAGTCATCTTTTCGAATTGGGTAGTTGTTTCTAGTGAATTCGTCAGTGAAAAGACCGCTGAATATGTCACTAAAGATGAGATGAACAAGGTGCTGGAACTAGTGAAAATTCAGGACCAAAGAATATCTGACCTAAAGACTGAAATGACAAAGAAAAATATGGAGATAAATCGATTTGACATAAGAGTTGCTGAGCTAGAAATGCGTGTATTGGAACAGTCAAAGAAAATTGCAGAATTAGAAGCAAACGACAAAAATGAAATTGAGCAACTGAGAGGAACTGAAACTAAATCGCAGCACACTTCGGGTGCACAATTAGCTTATTCTACTTCCAGTTATAGAGTAGATCAGGAACATAAAATCATAGAAGGTGAATCGACTGGCAACGAGATGAAACAAAGAGATGTAGCGACCGGTAAGCATTTTATATTGCCGAAAATTGCAAACTAAGGCGAATGTTACAAAGATGCTTTTTAATAATTACTTACGTTCAATAAATTTCAAAAAAATTGGCAGTAAATTTCATCTTGATAATTCCTCAGTCGAATTATGAAGTTTATACCTATGGTGGCTAATTTGTGTTATTCGTGTTTTGGCCCCGCGACCCCGCCAAGCGAAAAGTCGAGAATGGAGAAGCTGAGGCAAAAACACGTTAATTAGCGGGAGCACAGGGCAAAGTTTGATAAATAAAGCTTCGCCCGGCAGGGATGCGGAGCGAGATTTAAGAAATCAAATGAAAACGAGGCTAAATAGGGTACGATATGCATTTGAAAAATTGAAATAGACTTTTTGCACTCTTGAAATAGAAAACGAGGCTCTTGATTAGATCGTATCCAATAATGATTTCTATAAAACATTCCAAAAGCTTAAAGTTCATTTGTTATTTCTATGAGGTTTGAAACAAAATTTGATTTCATACTGACATAAATGATCTAATACATCCTCACAACAGAATGTAGTAAGAGAATCTTATAAATTTCTCATAACGGTGTTTAAATCGTTCATGAGATTATAATTGTCTAAATTTCGGACAAAAGTCGCCGGCCATACAAAAAGAATAATATTTTTATTTTTCAGGGCATTACCAAAGACGATCAATACAAGCACAAGTGGCATTTTCTGCTTACTTGTCTCATTTTCAAGATCATTTAGGACTCCATCAAACTATCAAGTTTGACAAGATAATAACGAATGACGGAAATGCTTACAATGCAGTGACTGGAATCTTCACCGTTCCAGTAACTGGAACATACGTCTTCATTTTCTATATCAACTCGTCTAATTCAAATGTTGTGTTCCGTTTGATGGCCAATAATGCCCTTAAAGCATCCGGTGTTTCAAGACCAGCTGTCCTTAATCAAATTAAAGATGTTCAAGGTGGAGGCATGGTTGTTCTACGTTTGAATCAAGGTGTTGCCGTTTGGATTGAGAACGCGAATGCAGATTCTATAGTTTACAGCACCGACGAAAACAGATGGGTCACATTTTCTGGTTTTCTTTTATACTAAAATTTAGTTGATATAAACTTTCCTTCTGTCGATTTTTTAAGTTTCTTACTTGATATAGCGCATAAATAACTGTAAGGAACAAACCTCTATTGTTATCATGATAATTGTAATACATGTTTCAAATTGGTAAAATTGTATTAAACTAGTAACTGAGCAAACTCCACTTAATTTACTGCAGTTAAAGAATATGCATTAATACATTCAATTGGCACAGTTGGCACAGTTTTATCCACGAGAAAAAATCTTTTGCACCATCGGTATAGGACATTTACTGACATATAAAAAATCATTCGTCAGAAAAACTCACTTTCAAATCACTTTTAAGTGTATCATGACTCACAAATGCATATACATTGCTGAAGAAAGCTATGAATAATGAAAAAATATTAAAAGGATCAGAGAATGCGGATGAATATTTTTAAATATACGTGGCGATCTTAACGAAAAACAAAACAGAAATATTCAGTCGTGGCTAGTATGTGCATTATCACAAATTAACCCCATTGTCTTAACATTGCAGGTCAATTATGTTGATTAGAATTCAATTCTTAGAGCTTTTTCTGCATTGAAAAAAGAAATCCGTTTCCTACCTAAACAATATACAAATATTCATACTGTAATACAATTTTGGAAAAATGTTATTCGTAATAATTATATGTATAGATCCCTTAAATATATTTAATTATTGTGAAAAGCGTGACTATTATCAAATTGTACGAGGATTGCCCCGATATAACTCGGACATTTGCTCTATTTCGTGCATTTTTGAACAGAAATTGATGAAAAAAATGACAAAAAATCCATATTAAATATATATTGTGTTCTAGAATAAACTTATGATAAATGAAACATTAAGATATATCTTGGGTCTCTATAACAGCTAAACATCACCAAGACAAGGCAGAGACGTTGTGTATGCAACATTGGACGTCAATTCTGCCAATTGACCAAATATTCCCATCGTGTCATTCAGAATCATTGTTATGCGATACAAAAGCCTCATGACATTTCAATGACGTAAATTGATTATTCAAATCATTGTAATAAAAATTCAGAACAAAGCAATACTACAAAAGCGGCAGGAGTAAAACAAGCCAGTATTCAATGTTCAGATCTCATATATTCAAATGTCATAAAAGATTTAAAGACTGAAAACAAGACATGGTGACAAGGGTCTTGGACGGAAGGCAACATAATCTATGGCGTTAGTGCAGAAAATCAAGTACGTTGTTTGCCAAGATCACAGATGGACAGTGCTCGATATTTGAAAATGACCGTGATTGTTCGAAGGTCTTTACATAAAGTTATTAACTGAACATTTCAAATAGGGAAGTTGAGTTACTACATTGAGAAAATATAAACAGAGCTGTTTAACAATTATGGGAAATGTAATAACTACTGGTGTTGTAAAAACACCATGACCTGCGCCGCATACAGTACCTTGTGTTCTTAGAAGGGTTGCCATTTCTGCAACAAATCATTAAATAAGTGTGTACAATAATTAAGTACATTAATATCTGGCTGCCGATAAACTTTGTGCCATTATCTTTTACCCTGTTCAATTGATAACAAAAGTCCACGTAATTCTGAAACACCCTTCGTATAATAAATACAATGGTTCTATTTCTCAGTATCTGTATTACATAAAATCTCAGTTTGTTCAATTTCTGGACGCACGCACATCGAAACTTTAAATTTTTGTAAATAAGAAATATTATCAAAAAATGTCCTTTCAATACGTATTCCTTTTTCTTACTAAAGTCAATCCTTTACAAACTTAAACATAATAGTATACTTTTATAAATTCTTCGTGACTCTATTATCATAAAAACAAAGCTGTATGAATAAAACAAGTCAATCTGTTATATAAAATTGGCAGCATATCACGATATTTGATAACCTTCAGAACGATGTGTTACTCAGAAATACAAAGGCTATAGGGAAAACGCAGTAAGAAACCGTTACAAATCTAAAACTTGAACTTTTCACCCCAAATGATATTTACATTTAACATTATTCCGACAATAAAAAGTAAAACATCCTTTGCCTAATCAATTTTATACCACACTTGCCTACCACGTTCTTTACTTTTACACACCTCCTCTATTGTTTGTGAAAGGTCTATATTTTTCGGATAGACCTGTTTAAACGAAAGAAAGTCCGTTATGAGGTCTATCTTTTGCACGTGCACAAGTCTGTTCTAGTCAGACAGACCCAGTCATGAAAATCACGTGAAAAAATAGACCTACCTGTGCGCAGACAACGAAAACATGAAATGCAATCGAAAATTAAAAATGAAAATAAAATAAAATAAAATTTAAATGATTGTCATAATATTCCTGACTTAAATAATCTGGATACATTTTTGAAACAAGATAATGTTTATTGAGTACACTTAACAATTATTCCAACCTCCCTTTATTAAATCTTTGAATGAAAATAATGGATAGCACATCAAAGTTAGGACATGCAAGTTAGGACATGCAAGTACTTAAAGTGTTTTGGTCTACAATGGGCACGTTTCAAATATCAACAAAACGATAGAAATGTATTAATCGGATATTATTAAAAAAATCTTGAAAAAGAAATGTTAGTAAAATTATAAGTGATTTAGTATAAAAATTCATATGATGAACGATCATATTTTATTCTACAACACTTTATAATCTGCTATATAAAATATAGTTTCGGATTATGTATAACAATATACATGTTTATATATGTAAGTCTTTCGTGGTCTGCTGGACATTTTCCCCTCAAACAGTAGCCCCCTCGAAAGTTTCCCCCTTTTTTGCAGTGGCGGACATTTCGCCCTTCATATCTTTGAAAGTGGCGGAAATTTGCCTCCCCCTGTTTTAAAAATGTTAAAAATATTTAATTGTTGAATTGTTTGTTACCGAAATTCATCGCCTACTGTCAAATAGTCGAAATTCCATTGTGCTTAAATACACAAAAACTCCCACGCAAATTTGTGAAAACAAAAAAGCATCCATAAATAAATATACCGTTTGCATTGTTAAATAACATATATAAAATTTATACACGAGATGACATCTAACAAGTGACAAGTCGTCACATCAAAAACAAGGGGACAAACGTCCGAGGGGGCAACTGTCCTGGAGGCAACTGTCCTACAATGTGCTATGTCTGATACGAAATACTATCAACATAATTATTTAATTCTTTAACATACATTACACACCCATTCATATTTTTTGACAAATTGCACGTTTAGCTCTTAAAGAGAAAAGCAGACTTAAATGCAAAATATATATTATATTTAAGCAGAACGTTGATAAAAGCTTACCTATATATGCGCTGTGTCAAATACAATTTTTGTGCATTACATCAAATACTTCGGATCAGCCATTGGTCAAGCCATAGTTTGACGGTGTGTAAGTTGGATATCGGCCGCGTACATCGATCTTTCTGTTTAGGAATGACCTTGTTACGAATTTCATGAAACACCTCGAGCGCTACGCTCTCTCGGTGTCACATGAAATTCGTGACCAGGTCTTTCCTAAACAGAAAGACCTCGTACTCGGTCGAAATCCTATACATAAATATAATGTTAATGTGAATGTTTTAAAGATTATTGTAAATATGTTGTAATGGTTTGTTTAAAGTTCTATTTTTAGAACGTTTCCCCTGTATTTTCCAGTTTTTCTTATTTCACATACATTGTGGATGGATAACATATACTGATATATTTACGTTGTCCTAGAATTTTCTTGTGACTCATTTAATGAAGCCTTATTTTGCTGGCTCTTAAAATGTATCTTATGATTTCTTCAAAGGAAATATTAGACATTAATTTTATTGGATTTTATATTCATCGGTTGATTTACTTTGAAGTATGGATTTCTTTTGTCATTTTTCTTCGCAAGTTATTAATACAACTTTCAAAAAAAATTAAAGGAATTATTCTTTTGAAAAGTTATTCTACTAAACTACTTACATGTGTTGTACATTTATTTATGACCTCGTGATCTCTAGGTCATATAACTTATAATGGCCGTTGATTTATATGTAAAACAAAAGGAAACTTCAAAAACACTTTTATTTCTATTTTTCAAAAGCATTAAATTATGGTGCTCTATTTCAGTTCCAGGTTACTCTTTAGTTACAAAACTGAGTCTCTTTTGTTACTTTTGCATTTTTGCAATTAGTTCACTTATAGCTTACTGGTACTGTATTGAAAAATAAAAAACTTATCTGTTTTCATTTCGCCACCTTAATAACAAATTACAATACATCCCGTGCTTTTTTCATGTAATAAACATCAAATATTATCTAAGTATATTATTAAAACATTATAAAACATGTGCTTGCCTTTCCTACAGAAGGAAAATTATTTATTTCATATTTATTGCTAATGTGCCTTTAAACAATTAAGAGTAACTTTGATATAAAATTGGAATAAAAGATAAGACACATGTTATTATTAACCTGTCACGTAGAACTTTTTAAGAACATTAATGTAGATTGATAAGAGCATTCATTCACTCATGTTACTGTATATCTAAACGGTATCAGAATGGCTATACTCAAATCTGTTTTCGTTTTATTGTTAGTCATCTTTACAAGTTGGGAAGTTGTTTCTAGTGAATTCGAAAATGAAAATATCTCAGAATTTGTCACTAAAGATGAGATGAATAAGGTGTTGGAATTAGTGAAACTACAGGACCAAAAACTATCTGAACTGAAGACAGAAATGAAGAGGAAACATTTGAAGTTAGATCGATTCGTCAAAAGAGTTGCTGACCTAGAAGTGCGTGTTCTGAAACAGTCAAGGGAACTAGAAAAAATAGGAGCACATGACGAAATTGAAAATGAGCGATTAAGAGGAATTGAAACTAAACTGCAACGCACTTCGGATTCTAAGAAAGACATCTTTGCTAATTTTACTTTCAATGCAGCCAATAATAGAGCAGGGAATCGAGAAGATGATCCGGAACATACAATCATAGAAGGTGGAACGGCTGGCAACGAAATAAAACAAAGGATTGTAGCCACCAGTAAGTACGGTATTTGATTATCCTGACAATTGCACTATGGCAAGTGTTTTAAAAATTCTTCCTTATTATTATTTACTTGCAATAAGACTTGAAAAAAAAAACAAAAGGAAAACATAGAAGTGCATTACATAATTCCGCAGTAAAATTATGAAGTATAAATCACATTTCAATAAAGCTAAAAAAAATGTGTATTTAAATGCGAAAAAAAATCCTTATGACGCAAAAAAAATATTTATAATCTTATACAAATATGGACATTTTAGCTGGTGAATATATAGTAATATCGCCCTTAAAAGCGTACTTGACCGCCAGACATACTCGTCTGTAAAATAACGGATTTTACCTACAATTTTTTTGGTAATTGGCCAGGATTAAAATGTAATAAATTAATATTATATTTAAAGAATGGATATTTAAGTAGAAAAAAACGTCGTTTGAAGAAAATGAAAGGCATATACATATACAGATCTCCGCTAGTTATGTAAAAACATATGAAAACGAGATTACATTGATGGAATTGTATCCAATAATGATTTCTATTGGAGCATCACGAGGTGCAAAGCCTAAATATACTTGGTTATATTTTATGTTGTGAAATAAGACCATAACTAAATTTCGGACCCAAGTTACCGGCCATACTTAAATAAGATGATATTTTTCAGGTCATAACCAAAGGAGAGCAATACAAGCACAAGTGGCATTTTCTGCCTACCTGTCTTATTTTCAAGAGCATTTGGGAATCCATCAAACAGTTAAGTTTGACAAGATAATAACGAATGACGGAAACGCTTATAACGCAGTGACTGGAATCTTCACCGTGCCAGTTACTGGAACCTACGTCTTCATTTTCTATATCAACTCGTCCAATTCAATTGTTGAGGTCCGTTTGATTGCTGATAATTCCATTATAGCATCCGGTACTTCAAGACCATATGAATTTAATCAAAGTAAAGATGTTCAAGGTGGAGGCACGGTTGTTCTACATTTGAATCAAGGTGTTTCCGTTTGGATCGAGAACGCGAGGGCAGATTCTGCAATTTACAGCAACGATGTAGACAGATGGGTCACATTTTCTGGTTTCCTTTTGTATTAACTTTAAGAAACATTGACTTTCTATTTTAATTTAATTTCTTATTTTTAATCCATTACATTACAGTAAATTATAAATACAATGAGACTGACAATGACAATCGATTTATTGATATTGACAACCGGTCCATAACAATAATTATTACATTATAATGCAATTACGTGACTGATAAAGCGCATAATTAACTGTAAGCAACGATCCTGAGTTGTTATCATGGTAATAGGTAATACATCTTTGGTTATATAGATTGGAATAAAAACTAATTTAATATAAGATGCTAGCATGGCACATAACTGGGCATATTCAGTTTTACTCAACTTTAATTGTATCCACTGTAGGAAAAAAGCATGCAGAAATACAGTTAACTTATACATCTTTAACAACGAGAAAATGTACTCCTTTTGCAGCATCGCTATAACTTAAACAAAGATCGACACATACAAGACTCAATACTTTAAAAAATCACACTTTTAATTCATCTCAAATGTATCATGATTCAAATAAAACATGTTCATTAATGACCAAAGTCATAAATGATGCATATTATTATGTATTGTGACTACCAAAAAGAAAGAAAAAAAACATAATCCAGAAGTAAGAACAAGATTTTGTAGACGTATGTATACGTTTTCTGCCCTTGGAATGACATCAAATAAGTGAATAATTCTGATTCAAGGGCAGGTAACTCAAAAGTGAAATCGATGACATCCTGCTTTATTTTGCTTGAAATATATCTGCCATCATAGTCCAACAACATGCCAAGTTTAAATAACACACTATTAACAGTTTATATTCTGCCTACTGGTGTATGTCTATATGGAAACTACCAAAAACGTCCGTCAGCTAAAATAAGCTTATGATAAATGAAATATTAAGATATATCCTGGGTCGCTATAACAGCCAAATATCACCAAGACAGGACAGTGACATTTTGTTTGCAAGATTGGACGTCAATTCTGCCCAGTGACCAAATATTCCCATCGTGTCATTCAGAATCATTGTTATGCGATAAAAAAGCGGTCGTTAAGGCAATTTTATAAAAAATACTTGATTATTCAAATCATTGTTATAAAACTCAAACCAAAGCAATACTACAAGCGGCAGGAGTAAAACAAGTCATGTTCAGAAAGCATATATTCAAGTGCCATAAACGATTTAAAGACTGAAAACAGGACAAGATTAACTGAACATTTCAAGATGTGCTACTAATAGAGCTATTAAACAATTATAGAAAATAAAATGAAATAACTATCGGGGTTCTAAAAGCACCATGACCTGCGCCGCATACAGTGCCCTTGTGTAGGTCGAAGAATTGCCATTTCTACAAATAATCATTAAATGTGTTTAAATAATTAATGTGTGTACAATAATTAAGTACATTTATATCTAGCTGCCGGTAAACGGTTGTGTCCTTGTTCAAATTATAACAAAATTCCACGAAATTCTGAAACATTCTTTGTATAATAAATACAAGTTCTATTTCTCCGTATCTGTTTTATATTAAATCTCATTTCGTTCAATTTCTGGACGCGAGCACATCGGAATTTAAATTTTTTGTAAATAAGAATTATTATAAAAAATGATCTTTCAATACGTATTCCTGTTCTTTATAAAGTCAATCTTTTACAAACTTAAACAAAATGGTATACTTTTATAAATGCTTCGTGACACGATTTTCATAAATACAAAGCAGGATGAATAAAACAAGTCAAACTGTTTCATAAACACGATAGTTGAATAACCTTCAGAACGTTGTGTTACTCAGTGATTCAAAGGCTTTAGGGAAAACGCAGTTACCGTTACAAATCTGCAACTCTTACTTTTCACCCCAACGTTATTTACACGTATAATTATTCCGACAATTAAAAGTTACTATTATATATCATCGTTTGACTAATCAATTTGATACCACATTTGCCTACAATGTTCTTTATTTTTAAGTATAATGTTAAAGTGTTTGTTTTAATGATTATTGTAAATATGTTGTGATGGTTTGTTTGAAGTTCTTCTTTTAGAACTTTTCCCCTGTAATCTCCAGTTCTTCCTATTCCACATACATTGTAGATGGATAACATAACTAAATTAATATATTTTGAAATTGAGGAGAATCTGTGTTGTCCTAAAAATTTCTAGTGACTCATTTAATGAAGCCTTATTTTGGTGGTTCTTAAAATGTATTATCTTATTATTTCTTAAAATAAAATCTAAAACTTTAAGTATTTTAGACATGAAAACATTGGTTTTATATTCATCGGTTAAATTACTTTAAAGTATTGATTTTTGTTGTTTTGTTTTTGTTTGTTGTTTTTTTTTCATTATTTTTCGCGAGAAATAAATTCCCCTTTCCAATAATTTCATTGATGGAAATATTCTTCTAATAACGTAATCTACTTACTATACTTTTCATCGATGACCTCGTTATATCTATGTCATAGTGGCCAACTTAAAATCAACTTCATATCTATTTATACGATAATTGTAATGATAGTGTTTTATTTTCAATTGCTGACAATAAACAAATGATCTCCACATTCAACAGATTACAAATATTTATATTTATGTGGTACATTTGATATGTTATGATGACGTTAGAATGTATGTTGCAAATTAATCCGACAGATGACTTATTAGGTTAAAAATAAACTTACACGTTTTAGGTTACTTTAGTGATGACAAGGTTGACATCTAAATAGTTTTATTTCAAACGCAGTTGTAGATGTTATTTGATGAATGTTGATGTCACAAGTCATGGTTTAATTTCAGTTATAAATAACATAATAAATCTCAAATCTAACGATCTCGAAAACGTATCTGTTGTATGGACATGTAAAAAACAAATTCTCACAAGGTCGTCATTTATTAAAAGCACACTTATGTGCGATTATTCTTATGATATCTGCCAACGTATCTGTAACTATTAGTTATGTATAAAAAAAACCACTCCAAACAAAATATACCGGTAACCACAAATCTCGACCATAGTATTTTACGAAATTATTCGTTTTTTAATCAAAGCAAGTGGTTTAAGATATTACATTATTTAATTCATAATGGTTATTATAACCGAATCGAAATAAAACATCTATTTTGTAACGTGTAAAGTAGAATATCTAGCTTTTTGGGCCCTGATGTTGCTACCTGTTTAAAATACCTTCTTACCAATGGCACGCAGCTAAGCGTATGTTTACTCATGATGATTTTAGAAATTTCGTTGGCACACAATTTGTCGACATTGGAATTTTCAGGTAGTTTTTCACGTTCGATAATTAATTTATCGTAAATGAGGATTTATCGTAAATGAGGATAGATGGCTCAATATTTTTACGGTTATTGAAAGATATATCTATTATGCTATATTTACACGCTTAAGTATGAACATATGTCTTATTTTTAAAAACTTCGAGAGCAAAATGTTGACCGTGTCGGAGGAATACGCTACGGCGAGTTATATACCTTGTATATATTTTATACTGCTTGATTTTATTGCTTGATAGAATTTTGTTCTTGGTGAACAATAGGTGATTATTTTATGATAATTTGATCATTATTTGCATGGCAAATGTGCCGAACACCTGTGGTTTCGATATAGAAAACGATATTCCTTGAACAGTATAAAATGAGTTTAATACACCCATTTAAAGCAGCTCCAAACTAACGAAGTATACTACATTTTGTCAATTTTAATCAATGCTTACTTAACCAAGCTACACAATAACAAGTACGTGAATAATTTCAAAAGTAACCTCGGAGGAATTCGATGACGCACTTGAAGAATTTTGATACCATATCTATTTCTTAATCTTATTCCGTGTTCGTATTTTTATTTAATTTCTTCGATTGGCAATGGCTCGCAATGATATAGTCGATGTTGATTAAAAAGGTCACATTTGAATCTTATAAAATCAAAGACTACGTTTAGGTACTTTAAAATCATTTCTTGTTCAATTATTACTTGCTCATTTATAGCATTGCATGCTCACATTAAATTGTGATGTTCTAATAATTATTTCATAATAAAATGCTAATCGCAAAAATAAGTATATGCATTCAAAACATCCTACATTAATCACTACAGTTTTTTTTCTTTTCTTGTAATTATAAGTATTAAAATATCGTGACAAAACAATATTTCGAAATATAAATTATATGAAAAATGGCAAAATGAAATACTAGACCGGTATTTACCGTTGACTTGAAATTTTATTTCATGTTTTAAAATTAACAGACAAGCCACACAAACACGAACATTTAGTAATTAAATTTAATTGCAAACGTTTCGGCTATATGCCTTCATCAGTGCAAAACATAATAAAATTACCGGAAGCGACGTCAAAACGGAACACGCGTTAAACGCGCGAAAAACGTAATGGCGTTTAGCGGCAAAACTATGATAACATGTAGAAACAAATATTTATGCTATAAATAAAGCTGGTACATGAATTTTTTTTTTTTATTTCATGTTTTATTCACTTTAGTTTCATTTATTTTCCGACTTCTCTATATAATTGAAACAAAACAAATATATTTATATGTCTACGCTTAGAAATAACAAAGTAGAACGGAAAGTAACTGTTATATTTCGGCCGCCTCGTTTCATTTTTGAGTTATCGGGATTCGTAATATGAAATGTTTTCACTCACTGATAACCTTATTATTTTAGGTTCTCTTAATCAGATTAAATTGATGCTTGGAACTCTCCACATATGTACGTATATTTCACATGCATTTTGATGATTTTTTCATACACGTCATATGGAAATAATCTAATTATTATTGGACAAGAAAACTTAGTTTGAATAGATGCTTCCTCTGTGATAGTATCGAGGGACATGTCGGACTCCGATCACATAAACCCATGTGTTGGATATAAAAACTTCATAAACTTTTGTAAAACAGTTTCCTCTCCAATATGCAGATTAGCCTACCTTTCTCGCCGAAACAGTTTGCATGGGCCCAGACCTGGTCATTTTACGCTTGTGAAATCCTTTTTATGACTCCTGTAAGAAGTTTTGTTTCTTTTAAGACTTTCTCTACTGCGAATAAACTAAAATTTCACTAACCGTTAAAATGATCCTAATTTGATCAAAGTTTAAGTATTGATCCTTTCAATTCCTATGAACTATTTTCATCAAAATTCAATATTGTACTGTTGGCACGGAAATTGAAAAAAAAAATGAAAAGTGACCCAATTTCAGTTCTCAACAACCCAATGTGTCACTTTTCAACAGGGTCAAAATTTTAATGTTACACCCGTATAAAGGCAAAATGTAGGCACAATTTACAGGAAAGAACGTTTGCATTTCAATTATCATATGCGCAACGTTTGGATAGCACCCTCAGCTTATTATTTCATTATACATGTTTGACATGTTTAATATGCTGTAGTTATTTGGGACCATTTAAAATCAAATCAAAATTTTTGAAGCGAGGAGAGTACGAGCACATTTCGAAAAGAAGCGAACATGCACACTTTGCTTGAATATGGCGAACATCCTCCCTCACATTTACTTCGGGAATCTGAAAAGAGCTTCAGTGAGTCATATCTATAATAGTGTTTAATGTTGGAAGGCAAAGGTTTGCGAAATAAGTGGGAACGTCGCCATATTCAAGCAAAAGGTTGATCGTTTGCTACCATTCGCAGTGTGTTGTGTCGCTTTAAACTATATTTTCTTCTCTTTTGTTCACTTTTTCATTTTAATAATCATGTGAATAAATCACATATTCTATTTTTTAAATGATGCAAAAATATTTAGTAAACGTGTAAAAATATGTGCTTAAAATGACATTTTCAACAATTACAACTCCCCGCTTCAAAATGTTTGTATTGAATGTTGTTGATAATTCCAAATTTATATATCGATAGAAGGCTGACGATTCGAGATGTACGGTTAGCTTATGATAACTGAAATCTAAAACTGTAAAAATTACCCCCAGGGGTAAAGGTCATTATGCTCGTTCGTTTTTGTGATCACGGAATATTTCTTGTTCATCACTCTTGCTTGACCTCAGCATGGCGGAGTGCAAAACAGATGCCACCACTGTGCCACTCAAAATAAAGATAGCCCAAGGACAAATCCGTGCCTCCTCTTTAAATCATTCACCCCTACAAATCTTTTCTTCAAAGATGGCTCAAATATACCCACAAGGCAAAGTGAAAAAACCCCTGAAAAAGCATATTTCCCAGTTTTTAGATTACATTGGAAGTTTTAAAAAGTGAAAACAATTTTTGGTGCCATAAAACAAATTTCTCCCCTTTTAAAAATTTTTTTTCAAAAAAAGGCTCAAATGTTCAACAAAAGGCAAATATGCAGAAACCCATGCCGCTGCTGTGCAAACTAAAGGTCAAGCCCAACCTTAAAGGTAAGATATCAGTCAATTTTGTGTCCACATTATCAATCCTATACCCTTTTGGGCATTTTTTATATATGGCTTAAATGGGTTTTTTTTCTAAACAAGGCAATGTCCAAAATCTATTGTGCCGCTTTGTTCGCTAAAGGTTACCATTGAAGAGCAAAATTCAAACATTTTGTGTCTCATCAATAAACATTAATTCTGTTTAAATGTTTATATAAACTTATAAGAAGTAGTTTAGTTAACCGTTTGTTATTTAGAAAAGGGTTCGATATGTCAAACAGACCTTAATAACGAATGTACTTTAACTTGTGCAGCATGTATCATCATAATTAATAATATTACTGGTTTGCTATTTATTTAATGATACAGTTTAGTATAAATTATCAATTAGAAAAAAACATTACCTCACACACTCACTAAAAACACAAAATCAAAACTATTTCATCAGTTAAAGCATTAAACATATTTAACTCAATTACAATTTAACAGAATCATAAGTATTCCTTAACAAATACAGCTATAAGACATGTTCCCAGTTATATATAACTGGAAAGAAGCCTTATGTATGAACGTACATACATTTCAAAAAGTTTTTTATACCACTTTGTATTATAAAGAGATTATCCGATATAAAACTTTTACTAATAGTTTATGTATCTGGATAAACAGACGCGTTACACTTTTCTGAAAACCGTTTTTATAATTTTCCCTTTATCTAATTTGGATGTTATAAACGTAGGGCGTAAATCTTTTAAATTGCTGTATATATGTTAATATCCAATGACCAGTTTTTCAGCAAAGCTCAACTTGTTTTCCAATCCTTTCGCTTATTTGCCGGAGACCACTCTGCAATGGTACTGTGGCATATCGTCCCTTTTTCCTTTTTATATTTTGTTTATCGTCTTCATCTACTTCTGTGTAATTCATTACTCCCATAATCATTGAAATTGGTATGACACATTCCTGCCCTGGGACATCAGTACAGGCAATAGCACCGCTATCACCAGGTTGAGAGAATCTTTCTCCTACGATTCCTTCCCCATCTGCAATGTCTTCCACTAGAATAAGACTAAAATCCATTTCTTCTGTGGACCTATACTCTGGCACTGTTATTATTCCTTTACCAGGTTTTGATTTAGCTCCCCAAATATGTACTTTCCGTCCAACTAAGTTTTCAGATTCAATGATACGTTTGTCTCCAGAAATTTGTTTACCACTGACTGTTTTAAACCTTGTGTCGCATTCATCTTTTCTTATAGAAAGAGCCGCTGCTGCTATATCAAGTTTGCCACATTCCACAGTGCTGTCTATAACCTCACCAACGCTTTTGGGTTCACCGCCTTCCATTACATGCAACCTGTTTATTTGATTACTTGCTGGCACTAAATGTTTGGAGAATAGTCCATACATCACTATCTCCTCGTTTTGAGTTTTGGTTTCTTTGGCAAAGCAGCCAAAACTTCCATTGTTGACGTAACCAACAGCGATGCTATCACCAGGTGTTAAATACTTTTTAATTGACATTGGAACGAGTTCGTACTCATAGATTTTGAAGTCGAGTAAAACTTGTCGGAGCCTATTTTGCTTTTCTTCCCTAGTAAAGGTCTGAACATCTTTCACAACAATTTGTAGTTTTTGCATTCGACATCCAACACCACAAATACCTTTAAATGTTGAGGACAAGTGTCTACAAATCTACACAATTGAGAAAATACAAATATGTGTTAATTACTATATTTCTGTAATAATAATGAAATATTTCAAGATATTAAGAAAGTAAAAATATTCTTGTAGTACTTTACATGAAATGTTAGATTAAGGTATGAGCCTCCTAGTGGGCACTATAAGGAACTATAAATTGACAACATAGGTCAGTTATATATCCTTAAAAGACACAATAATGCAAAATTTAAAGTAAAGTAAAACTTGGCTATTAGAAGGGCTCTTTTTAAGAAATGAGAAACTCTCAATATTCTATTTTATAATCATTATGAAAAAATGCTTTCCTATAGAACATTTTTGAGAAACAAATAATAGCATTCAGCGAACAAATGACCCAGCAAAATTATTGTTTCTACTCAAAATGTTTGAAATATGTATATAAATGTTACCCTACCCCACCCATTTTAAGTACTTCTTTGATCATTTTTCTACTTGGCGGGCCTTATTCAAAATATTCCTAAAATTTACTAAAATCAGGGGCTGTTTTCAAAGTTTGCATAATTTTTTTTTAAAAGTATATTGGTTGCGCTTGTCAAATATAAAGTACTTTTACCGTCTAGTTTTTATTTTATAAGACTTTGAAAATATCAGGTACCATATTTGATAAGAAATTTGGCACAATTTAGCCAATAAATACCAATAATAATTTCATAATTAAAATGAAACACTTTTTTCTTCTCAAGAGTGATATGAGAGACACAAATAATGTTCAAAAAAAAAGAAAGAAAGAAAAAGTTGTCGCTTCTGGGGCTTGAACCCACGCCCCTAAGTTACAATGCAGTTGACAGTAGTTCTAGCCTATTTGAATACTCTTCAAAGTGGAGGTAATGCATTAGGTGGATCATACCTTAATAACTTTTTTGTATTTTGACCTCTTAAATAATTTACGAGATGGATTGTAGAGTGTGTAATATATCAAGAGACATTACGTGCACTAATGCTGCCTTGTTTTGTTTACTTTAATAATCCGTGTTATAGTACTAGTTAAAAAAGAAAACATGTTAGGTTTTCAAAGTAAACAATATTACCTCTTTTAAGTCAAGGTCACTTCTGTATTTTGGAATGTTCGGAATATCGTCAATACTGACGTCACTCATATTAAAGAGTCCTATAATCTCTTCAAAAAGACAATCTTTAGTTTCCGTCTTAAGAGTTGAAAGCATATCTTTTTTAAGAAAGATAATTACATTTGTCTCATTGGTCTGCTCGTCATCTAAAAGGGTAATTACAAAGATTTAGAGTCGATATACAAAATTGTATATGTTTAACTTAATACGTATAATTATATTGACAAGTTATTGTAGATAAATGTTATTTTATTCACTTTAGTCATAAACTAGACAATACATCATATGATAAAGGTGTTTATATATTTAAATATTTAGACGATACATCAGTATTCTGAAAAAGCTACTAATAAACGTGTTTGATGGCTACTTATTTAACACGTATTATGTCTATTACTTGCCTGTTATTGGTTTTTCTTCATACTCATCCCTATTAGTTGCGTTTTTGTCGAAACGGTTACGTTCAATATCCCCTCCTAATGCACCACAAACTGGCTTGAGACTTTGAAAAAGCCATTCTTCTAAGACTGAATCTATCTGTTTCCATGCGATATTTTTTTGAATGGCATATGTGTTTTGGCATCGTTGAATAGATTTTTCATCCAAGTCAGTATTGCCTAGGATAAATGTCATGGTTGTCCTGTGTCTTATTGCTGTCAAAATGTGTTGATAGTTCACAGGTATTATAAAGCAAGAGACCGCCGATTGATCAATGGATTGAACAAATTGTTCAAGGGAGCCACCATCTCTAATTGTTCCTTTCTTAAATATTTCTTGAAGAAAATCATCGATCATTTTGTCATTTTCAGGGGTGGTACATACATAAAACAAAATATATCTGCCATCTTGTCCAATGCAGTTTGATTGAAGCACAACTTTATATCGCATCACAACATCCAACATATTGCTCAATGCAAACTCATACCTTGGAAACTCACTCGCCTGAACTTTTATCTCTTTTATGCGAATATCCTGCAAATTTATAAGATAATTAAATCAATGATTTTATATGCCGACCAATCCAAATCAATTGATGCTCTAGATGTAAACACAAAAGTGTTGTTAAATGCAAAGATTATCAAATTATTTCATTATAAAATATTTGTGTCGTTGACATTCTTCAGCTGCAATTTACTTACTGAAAATTTTCCTTTCTCCTGCTTGTATTCTGAAAAGATAAAATGTCGGCAAAAAACTGATAGCCAATAGATATGGCTTAGTCATTTATCTATTTATCTATTTATGTTGTAAGAAGTTGTAGAATATATTTGAACATATATTTAACATTGCATAGCAGTGTATACTTACAAACTCTTGATGTTCAACAATTATTATACTAAATGTATGTAAATATTTCTGTTCTGATAATGAAGTACTGAGGCGCTGTCTAAAAAAAGTCTTGCAAGAAAAATAAGCAGCCATATAACATATACTCAATGAAATGATATTTATTGAAAATCTGTTAGTGCTTGATATTTTGACAATAAATTAGTCCAGCATTTGATAAAAAGATTAACAGAATTATGATACGATTTCCGTTTCCATAATATCTTTACTTTCTTGCTCATTTTCGTAATATGTCCGTCTTTTATTTGCTTCAGTAGGATCTTAGTAAAGTTCAGTGACACTGTCGTAATCTTTTGTCCAGGGTGAGCCTTTAATTTATAATAATGTACATTTTATTTATTTTTTTAGATTTCATATAATTATACATTCTTCTCCCTAAAATGAAAATACTATGAAACACATTTTACAATGACTGGTATAATTTTTATTCCGAATTATGAATGACTCCGAAAGTATATCTAATTTGCAGAATGCGACAACACTGTTTTAAATTAAAATGTGAAACATGCACTTTTTAACTACTTTGACAATCATTAACAGACGGTTTGTTATATTTATAAAAATGATGTGCTAAAAGTATTTTACTGATGTACTAAATTGTAATACATATATTGTGATAAAAAAAAACTTTTCAAGGATCTATTTATTATAAGTCTTTTACAACCTTCTTCTATTTCATCTTCAATACTGACTAAAAGCTCAAGTTCTGTGTAACCATCAGAAGTTCCAGCTTTGTCTGCACCGGATGTTTCCAAAACATTTTTGCATGTCAAGACATTAATGTCATGGGCACGGCCTAGCAAATAAAATTTTATAAAATGCATTGTAACTTTGTATTTTACGTAAGTATTATCGTTCTGTAAGAGCTAGTCTTTGTAAATATTGAAAATAAATTCACAATTTTTTGAAGACATTATACATCTCTGATATTGGATAGTGTTAAAGTACATAATAAACAGGGTATTAACAATATAATTGTGGGGAAAAAGTGTGATACACCAAAGACTGTTTCAATATCTTGACTTGTCCTTACAAGCGATACATTCAATATACATGTACCAGATAGTTTAGCTTCAATTTCTGTTGAACACATGGATGCGGCTGATAATATACCAAAATCGTCTGCATATTTATCATAGAGTATTTTTGCGTAACATTGGTCTACAGCCTGTATTTGCAAAATAGCAGCTCATTTTGCTATGAATCAGTTGGACAAATGTATTCTAAAGTAGAACATATTACGAAACACAGACCACGCATTAATATCATGGCATAAAGTACAGACAGAAAGTTAATCAAAGTGCTGAAAGCACTGATGGGGGCGCAATATGTTGCATACAAAACTTCAAAGTTCGAGATTTGTAGAGCAATCTATTTCAGGTGTTCCAAGCTGATATCATTCCTGTTTTCAAAGTAAAATAAGTGCCCATTTTGTATAGTTTTACAATATAAAAGTATTGCCTCCAAATTATTGTCAAAATACCAAACATATACTTACAAACCCAGGCAAAATGCATTTTTGATATCATATATATCATAAAAAAATATTTCAAAATATGAAATTGAAATTTGTTGGGAAACTATAGTTGTTCAAGTTTATCTAAATTTTTCTTTCAACCAATTTTCATGTGAAGGACTTCCATATGTGAGTGTATAATACATAAATCAGTGCACTAACTATATTTATTCCAAGAAATGATTATGTAAATAGAAAATAAACAGAAAATTTAACTGTCTATTAAATATTTCTAAAATAAAACCAGGACTGTAAGAACAAAATTATTTTTTGTAGAAACATTCAAGCGCAATACATAATACATGTGAGAATGTAAATTGGAATGGATACATATACTGTAGTTGGCATTGAAAACAAGAGCCACTACCTAGCTTGGGCTATGCTCTGCTTTTTCTTATATAGAAAGTCAAACACAACAGTTTGAGAAAATTGAAGTACCTATAAGAGTACTCCTATAATACATCAAATTTGAATTTAACTGTCAACACATTTAAGTAAATGTCATAGTTGAATGATAAGTGTTGTTTTGTCCAAGAAAGAATCAAATCATAGACAAAAAGCAAAGTTATGACAATGTGAGCAAATTAAATTGTTTAACCTTGGAGGTAATGGTCAGTTAAAGGTCCAATTTATATCAGAATAATTTAACATGTTGGTTTTGTGTTTGTTTGTCCGAGCATGAATCAAATCTGTAAAAAAATAACAAAGTAATGACAATCCTAGCTAATTTCAAAGATTTTTTTATCAAATAAAGGTAAAGGCCATATAATATATGAACTTAAAGGGATTTTGTCACAAAAAAACATATGTCTTCTGAAACTGTGTATGGTTCTGATCACTCCTTTGAATTTGGCAGAAATCCAGCACGCAATTTGACATGTGATAAGATTTTTCTATTTTTAACCCTGGGGGCCATTTTGTGCAGTGAAGCGAAACATGCCAGCAATGTGCACAACTAGGAATGGAACTGTTCACTCCTGTGAAGTTTCATTGACATCTAACCAGCAGTTCTATCTGTAAAAGCCAGACAAGATATTTATATTTATAGCTCTGACAGCCATTTTGTGCAGCAAAGTTAAACTTGCTGGCGATATGCACAACAAAGGATAGTACTGATCACTCCTATTAAGTTTGGTTAAAATCCCACTAGTAGTTTGACTTGTGAACAAAATTCTTCTATTTTAAGCTGTGGCGGTCATTTTGTTCAGTGAAATGGAACTTACAGGCAATGTGCACAACTATGGATGGTACTGATCAATCCTGTAAAGTTTGTTTGAAATACCAACTGTAGATTGACCTGTAAAGGTCGGACAAGATTTTTCTATTTTTAGCTGTGATGGCAATTTTGAGCAGCGAATCGTAACATGTCAGTGATGTGCATAACTACGAATGGAATTGATCACTCCTGTAAAGTTTGGTTGAAATTCCACCTGTAGGTTGACCGACAGACGGACAGATGGCGAAGGCAAAAACAATATGTCAAAAATTAAATTCAAGGTCAAGTTCCATTTAATCTTCTTGATTGTCAGAAGGAGTGTCTGTGACAGAGTGGTCAAGGTTGTTCTTTCCACCAGTCATGCTGGACAGTAACCATATTATGACATTCACTGTGCTGATGCATTGTAAAAATCAAAGCAAAAAAAATAAAACATTTAAGAGTCAATGTGATATTGAGTTTGATTTTCTTTTATGTCCTAGCCTACAAGTTTGAAGAAAATAAAAATTCAAAATCAAAGTTCATACATTTGAACTTGAAGGTCAATATAATTCATGAATCAATGTCAACTTCAGTCTGGTCTTCTTAATGGTCTTGTCCAAAGAATTGTTGTGTCCAAGAATGAAGACAATCCATTAAAAATAATGGTTTAGTTTAAAGTTTCTGGTAAGCAACATGTGCAGGAACAGCAACTTGACTGTAGTAGCTCGAAATTCTTTTATTAGCTAAGCACATGCCCTAATTCATATCAGCTGCCTATATGTTTCACCTTTTTCAACAAAATTTGTTTTAAATAAAGAAGTGTTATAATAAAATTATGCAACTAGTGACTATCATACTAACTAACAATTATCAAAAAGCATGTAACACAATTTGCCGAAATTTTGATCAGAGCTACATAAATTACAGATTTTTGCTATGTCAAAAAAGTGTATGCAAAGGAACCAAATACATATTTCCAAAACAGTTTAAAATGATGGTGTCACACTGTATAAGTTATCATACTATTAACATAAACCTTTGTAGGAATCAAAAGTAGGCATTCATAGAAAATTCTCATATCATATTCTGTACATTTATTGGCAATAATAATTTTTCTAAATGAATAAATATAAATGAAACTTCTTGTGAGATTTGCAAAATAGTCAAATTTATGCCCTTTCAATTTCAAGGGTTGTTTTAGCTTAGCATCATAATTTCTATGCAGATTTAGTCCTAACATTTTTCAAATAAATCTTCTATCCGATGGGCACGCCTAACAAAGATTTAAGAAAATATTCCATATTTTTCAACTTAAGGATACATTTTCAAACAGTAACAAAAACTAAAATTGTGATCAAACAACAATTTCTCTATGAACCAATTACATTTAGAATTAAAGCTCCATGACTCCAGATATGCCAAAAGAAATTCAAACTTGATAAAAAAGATATTAAGAAAAGTAAAAAGTGCAATAAAAACCTTACATTATGTGCCATTAATGACTGATTTTGCAATATTCAAATGATCACCATATTTCTACTGTGTGACTAACCCCGGGCTATTTTTGCATATTTTGGCGTCTTTTTGGTAAATTATAAGGATTGTGTCATTAGCAATATGTACAATAGTCATAACTTTCTTTGTTAACTTCACAATATTTTACTTTGAAATACATTTTCAAAATTATCATGAAAAATAACAATAACCTGGAGGCATGCTGCTTCAAGATAAAAAAAAACATCCTATTATATAATTATAACATACTTGAGTATCTTTATAGGCTAGAAAAGCTACCAACAGCAATGAATTGAGAGTTATGGTAACCCCAGGCCAGTGGGGCCATTTTCTCTTTAAGTTTAAACATTACTTTTGTACTTTTAGATTAGTTTAAGATAGAATACATTATCAATTTTAATTTATACTTATTATAGGTATTCATTGGATTGAATAATAAATCATTCCTTATTTAAAATTAAATGAAAAAGCATGGAAAAAATATTTTCAAGATCTAGTAAAAATCTAAATGTTTTTAAAATCTAGTAAAATCAAAACTATACAATAAATATATTAATAAATATACTATAAGAACATTATAACAATAAATGTATTTTGGATAATACACTCTAAGCTGAAATATTTTAAATGGGTGTGGTAGTATAAATGTTTGTAAATATTGTAAGTTATCTATCAATATGTCTGTTCTTAATAAAAGAAACTTGCACTTGATATTTTTCTGTACAAACAAAATTTCAAACATTGATAAGTTAGCTCATCTTATTGGTGATGAACTGGCGCCTCTATATACAAATGTGGTTCTGTTCAATCATAGGTTATCTCATGTTCTTTGTGATAAACTCTCACCTTGAAGTTTATAAAGTTCTGTTCATACATATTTCAAAAGTAGGCAAGTGGTGAAGTACTAGTGGCTCATTATTGTTCTAAACATATTGTGATATTTCAAATATTGGAAAATTATCTCACATTTTTAGTGAAAGACTGGTGACTAGTTTTCTCCTGAATGTCATTTCTTTTTCTAATTAGATTAAGTCAATTTACTATATTCATGAGGTTTTCGACATCACATCTAAGAACTCATTATCCTATTATCCACCATTGCAAAGGGCAGGCAGTCTCCTGGTTTTCCAATTTTTTTCAGTTCTAGTGTTTCCGACATTAAGAAAAATATATCTTCCCTCATCACTCCTGCTATTACTGTTCTATCATACAAGTTCCCCCTGTTTCCTGAAAAGTGAATTGCAGAATTAAAATTTCATTTTTTTCAAAGGGGGGGGGGGGGGGTGGCGGGGCACTTTAAAGCACAGGTTATATGCCCAATTTCCAGCTTTACTGGTTGAGGAAGACATCGGGTGCCCCTATGTTGTGTATGATTTCAAGCACTAAACAGCACCCGAGTACAACCATCAAAAAAATGAGCTGGATAGCTTTCTCACATGAAAGAATCCATAAACCTTTGCAGAGCTCAAACCTACAGCAGTGAAAGGCAGTTGGCTTAATGTCTAGAAACTAAACCAATCAGCCACAGACACCCCAAGTAATTTTATCTATTTGCTAAGCAGCAATTTTTACAAAATTATTTAAATTTATATCATTCTGATAAACTATAGACAGCAAAGTCAAGATAAGATTATCATATATGTCAGACAGCTTACTGTGAATATTCAATATTTTAATGTGAATTTTCTCGAGGTGAAAAGGAAAGGAAAGCTTAATTCCTTGTCACAATTCTTCTTGCTACCTACTTTTGTTCCTAATTGCTAGTATAAGATGTAGTTTAAATACACTGTTTTTATTAATTTGGCTTTTTGTGACAATAGACTATCCAGTGACAGAAGCTCACTGACTTAAAATAAACTGTCCTGTGTCGGTCTTTAAACAAGTCAAGAATAAAAAGACTATTACAATATAATTAAGAATATAAATATTAAGAAATATCATATACTAATACATCTAAATAATAATGTACCTCTTCCTTAAATGCCCATGCTGTTGAAAGAAACATTTTCGCATTTATTCACTTCAAGGTTAGTCAGATTGACAGTCTCACATTTTAGCCTTTATCTCTCTTGATTCCATCCTCATTGACCCTAAAGCATCCTTAAAATCTATATCCTGCCCTTCACATTCACAAATCTGAAATGAACAGAAAGTTGGAAAGATAAAATATGATTATTATGAGATATACATATAGTATCCCAATAATTATGTTAGTTCATATCAAATAAATAATTTAAGAAACAATTTGTTCAAAATTGCCTTAGTACAAAGATTTTTAAACCAAATCTATGATATAATAAAAGAGTAAATACATTCTTTATTTCCAGTCATGTAAGCTATAATTCAATTTACCAAGTCATAGGACAGGTCTAGTATAGTAATTATAGTGTATATGCAGTATGTACTATATGTCTTTACAATCTACTATACCGTCCTGAAATTTTAAGAAAACAACTATCTTTTACATCCATTTCTCAGAAGTTGCAAAACCAAGTAAATGAAATCATTCTGCACAACTTCTGATCACAAACGCTTCAAGGACATTTATGAGTGAATCAGGTCCTATCCTGAAAGACTGTGTTGTTCAAGTTTGAAGACATTAATTCAAAAATAACAGAGCTATAGCCACTAATAGCAAAAAAATAAGCAAAATTTAGACATTTTACCTTGAATGTTAACATAAAGGTCAAGTTTAGTCTGGTCTACTTGAAGGGTTGTTGTGACCAAGTATGATGACAATACATTAAGATCTGAAAAAGTTATGAACAAGGTTAAAGTTTGTTGACAGCAAGGGGAAAGCCGTCATGACTGTAACAATAATATTTTGGTACGTCTGTTGAGCCTAGCCGTTCTGTATTTTTTCAATAATAAATAAATGTAATGATAAAGTCAGTAACTTCCAAGTCTTCTTACATGTTTACAAAGAATTAACATATATAAAATTTATATTGTTTCTTAATAATTCTTTGATGATGTTCAGCCATTTATATTATAACAAGATATCCGAAAGATCTATCAGAAATAAATTGAGCTCTTATGCAAAATGTAAGCAAACATCCGGCATGAAATTTTCAAGTAGCTAAAAGTTAAATTATTATAAATACTTTGTCATAATCCAACTACAGCTGGAAATTGACCCACATGTTTGATTACAAATGTTTAAATCAATATTGTCCATAGAAATGATTTAATAATTTTCAGTCTCTCTTTGCGTTTTCACAGAGACTTAAACTATTCATTCACACCATGATTTTCAGAAGGAAAAAATCTTCTGATCACCAAACAATAAAAATTAATATACCAACTGTAAATTGTATATGATATTCAATAAAATCTTCTTTTAGAAAAACAAGTTTGCGTATTATTGTTTTAGGCACCTCATTTTTAAAATGCTGTACGGCTAGTCTCAACAGCGAGTATATGCTTGTCGTATGTGACTCACATTTGTCAAACAATACTAGTTTATACTGCTAGCCGCTGCCATTGTAAATTATTCCTTCCTCTACCAACTCACATACTTCCATCAACAAAAATTATGAATACTATTAGTATAATAATCATATAGATGTGAGACGATAAAAGTAATGATGACTAAATATGATGTATATAAAATTCCGCTGCTTAAGATGGGTTGTTTTTATTGATTGTTTGTATCAACAAAGGTAATTAGGTAAGCTTCATCACCGTATGATGACTTTTAAATTTTTGTTTAAAGTGAAAATTGATAGTCATCAAATTATTCTGAATATAACATACTGTTATATTTAATAATATAATCAGTAATCTTATTATTATTGACCTGGGGTTTTGAATTTTAATACAACTACTATTTTCATATAAATGTCTATAACTTTACAAAGAAAAAATCTATATAATTATGGACTGACCATAAATATCATGAAATCCTACATCTGATAAAGGCAAAACTGTGGAAATCAGATTTACATGTATGAAATAACTTTAATAAGTAGATCTGAACTTTAGTCATATTGTATAACAATTGTAATTATTACAAGTCCTTTAAAATTTTGGGAAGAGTTAGACAAGTGCCTAGTCTGTTGAAACGGACTTCTTTCACACTATTTTATGCATTATTAATCACTTCAGGGAAATACAAAGGGATAAAGTAATTGTTATACCAGATTGCATTATTTTTCAAGGTAAAGTGAAATATAAACAATGAATATTCAACAGTGAACAAAATTTTGCAATGTTTACCTGCTTACCTTGTCGACATGGTGATTACACAAATACGGGAAAATTATGTACATGAGAAAATAGACAAGTATGTATTCGTATTTCATATGCATTATACAAAGTTCATACAATATATTTGCACTTTTGAAGCATTTCATAGCTTATCGATTTGAAAAAAAAAACCAACATATTGCAATATTTTGTTAGTTGTTGCGTTTTATGATAGTAAGTTCACTTATGACTAAATAATGTTGGTACTCTATTTATGCATGTTCTTTGACTCTAATTGATAGGATTTAACTCATTACAGGATTTGGGCAGTACCTCCAGTAACTTGCAAAAATCATGATCACAAAATAGAAAACTATCATTTTTCGCCGATTATTATATTTTTCCTGCATACCATGGAAAAGTTTTGGACCAATTTTGTCCAGCTTAGATAGCTAATAGAGATGTGTTCAAAAGGTAGTTAAGCATCCCCAAAAATGTAATAACAATTTAAGAAAATATCTTTCCACATTTAGGAGTAATCCAGATATTAATCAGTTCACTTAATTATGTGGTTTCAACAATAAAGATTGATAAAACAAACCAATATATCAATAAATTGAAAAGTGGACCGAGTTAGAAAAGGGCCGAGCTGACTCGGGGACCCAAGTACGTTTTTGGGCCGAGCTGACACTGAATCGATGTAATGCACTAAAATTTGCATAAATAATAATCATAATATCAAGCGAAATATATCAAAAGCTTTACCAGATTGGGAAGAAAACTTGATTCTACATACGGAATAGATTGCACCTAAAATATCAACGTAATAAAATATAATCAAACATCTTGACCTGCTGTTTTTTCTGTAAACACTAAACAGCAAAATATAGGTCGTTTTCTTGACGATTTTGCTAGACCTACTGATAAATGCAAGAAAAAGCAACGACGTAATTAAACAGTTATGTATACAGGAGATTAAGTGTTCGTATAATAAAACTTACAACTCTTTTAAACACCTGGGACTTCCTAATCGATAGCAAATCTTCTCAATCTTTCTCGGTATATCTGGCCGGCCAAGATGGCGATTGCGGGAAAATGACGTCAGACAGAAAATAGTCCGTATTCATACACATACATTTTTTTCTCTGACATTCACACTTTCTAAGCATTTTAAGCTTAAAGTTATCCAATTTGAAAATCGTATTCCATTTTATCCTGAAGTATTGTGTTCTCTGGTTATGACTTAAAAAAAATTGGCACTAAATTTATGTACGTATTTTGGCTTTCATGCATCGGGAACCAGACGGTAGAAAAAATAAACTGGTTCTCTTTAAATTTTACCGACTGCTGGCGTAGTAATATTAAATCGCGTAATGCAATGATATATTTAATTTTGTGATAAAAGGAATTAAAATATAGTAATTAAATGACCAGTCAATTTTGAAATAGATAAGGTATTATGATTATATGAATATTATAGCAAAATATTGGAACTATTTTTGCTCCGCGCAGATAGCCTAAATGCGTTCAAACCATAGTTAGCTGAATTTATCGTAATTACACTGGGGGCTTGCGCCCCAAAAATTGACGAGTTGTACTTGATAAGCAGGTTGTTCCTTTAGTATAAAATGCACATACCCATTTCTTCTCTCTTAATCCTCTTCGCTGGCGGGTCATATTGCTCTAAACAGTTCATATTGTTCTCAGTTTCCTTGGTACTTACGTCTTCTTTTGCTGTCAGTTTCTGACTGACTGGAATTAAAACCGTTTGTTACATATAACGTTAAGTAAAAGTTAATCAAGGTACCAGGAATGAAATATTCAACAGGATCTTATTAAGTATTCCATACTTCGAATGTTTGGAAACATTTGGTCAAAAATATTAAGAAGCAATGTCAGTATATACCAATTAAGTCAATAGGTCGAATATTGAGTCTAATTGCTTCTCACTGCTGATTCAGGAATAATGAAGGTAAACCGTCACTTGCGGAGAAATTAGTACTTTTTGGAAAGCCAACTAGTTGGACTGAGTACTTTAAGCGAAAGTGCTAAAATTGCTAGGATTTGTTTTCCTAATGTAGATAAGGTCAATATACTGTTTATCTGTATACTTACCCTATATTTACAGTTGTAATCACTGTAGTGAATAGCTATCTGTACATTTTCATTCATTCATTCATGCATAATCACATGGAATTGTTTGAAATATGAAATGTTGAAATGATATTGAATTTGTATATTAATTTATGTTTTGTGGCTGTGCAGGTGGTTAAAACTAATTTACCTAAACCAAGAAAGTGAGGAAGTCGGTAACATGGTGAATCAATGGAACGGTCATTCAGCACAATGAAGAGACTGGAAACATGCAAGAAAACAACCTTGTCTTGCTGCAATGTATTTCTCTTCTGAATTATTATATAATTTATTAAGATATGAGCGTCTGATGGGGCGTTAAATATGCTTTCAAAGTACACCAGATTGTGTTATTTTGCATCTAAAAATAAAACATTACTCGGGAGAAAACCCCCGAACCCCCTTAACATAGAGAGGGAAGGGGGACACCCCCTCCCTTAACCCTTCTTCAGGGTGTATAATTCGTTTTGGCCTCGCCACTGATATTTATTCTGACTTATATCTTTTTCCAACACTTCGTGCAATCGAACAGACCTCTTCTTATAACGGAAGCTCTTCTAAAGTACAGACTATTTGTGTTAAAATGACCAATCGACATTGTTACTAAACTACCGTAATTTGTAAACGCTCCTACATCCTTAACTTTAGCGGTAGTAAATGTGAAAACAGAGGGCCTTCGACCGAAAAATTAAAAAAAAGATAAAAATATTTCTGTTATATTGTTATAGATATGATATGCAACATCTACATGTAGAAGGAAAATCCTAAATCGGAAGTGCTCTCCCGCATTACGTGCGTGGTTCTCCGTTCCACTCTATGTCAATGTATGTGAAACGGATGCCAGAGAATACTTCCGGTAGAAAGTACCTTCTAAAAATTTTCTTTTTTAATACAGGCACATAGGACTAAGTTCGACTCGCGGAGTTTATAACCATTAAAAACTATGTAAAATCCAATTTTACGAACCTGTCTAATTTCTGACTTTCGGGCTTTACTGCGATAGTTTGCGTGTACATAAGGATCTGTTCAGTTTTGATAGAAATATATATATATTCCAGTTTTTATAGAAAGTTTTATTTCGCTCCGCCCAAAGTAAAAGATAATTTCTAAACTTAACGATATACTGAAATTAAATTTGCCTTTCTAAATTAAGCATACTAATAGACTCTTACCCTACATGTATAACATAGTTATATACATAATGCTATTACGTTAAAAACATTAAACTATACCTAACTTACCAAAATAAGTAATAATTGTTGTCCAGAAAGATAGATGCAAATGACGTTTTAAGTTAATGAGACGTGACCATTGTTTTACTATACAAACGCATTTGTACATAAATAAATGATAATGGTTTGGCATTTTATATGCATATTTTTCTTAGACATATGATAATTAATTTTATTATATACCTGTAAACTTTCTTTAAAATACATGCAGTTTTTGACTCAAGAATACACTTGAATGAAAAGAAAAAATCCGTATCATGTTAGTAATAAGGTATTGGAAATGTTGAACTATTTTCACGTTGATTCACATTTTAGCATTTGGAAACGGGAACCACCGCTTCGGTGATGATTTTCTTTTTTTCTTTTGACAGCTATATTTCAGTTTATTTAATTTTTTTTTGTCTCAAAGGTATATTACGAAAGCCTAATAGTGTCAAATAAAATAAAAATAAAAATGCAAAGGCGTTATAACATGAATAAAGGCGTTATTACGCGAATCAAAAAACGTAATTACGCAAATCAAAATGCGTAATAACGCGAAAAAAATGCGTAGAAACGCGAATGAAGGCTATATAACGCGAATATAAAGGCGTCATTACGCGAATAAAGGCGTTATAACGCGAATCAAAACGCGTAATAACGCCTTTATTCGCGTTATAACGCGAAAAAAAAGGCTTAATAACGCAAATCAAAAGGCGTAGTAACGGAAATAAAGGCGTAGTAACGCGAACCAAAAGGCGTAATAACGCAAATCAAAACTCATTATAATGCCAATTTAATACCATATTCATACTTATCAAATGACCTAGTAACGTGATAAAGGAAGAACAATATTGATCTGAATTTATTGCTCAAGATATAAACTCGTATAGAATAATATAATATACATTAACAATAACTATCATTCTACGAAAGCCTAATAGTGTCAATAAATATATAAAAAAATGCAAAGGCGTTTAAACGCGAACAAAGGCGTTATTACGTGAATCAAAAGGCGTAATTTCGCAAATTAAATGCGTAATAACGCGAAAAAAGGCGAAGAAACGCTAATAAAGGCGTTATAACGCGAATCAAAACAAGTAATAACGCCTTTATTTGCATTATAACGCGAAACAAAAGGCGTAATACCGTAAATCAAAAGGCGTTGTAACGCGAATAAAGACGTAGTAACGCGAACCAAAAGGCGTAATAACGCAAATCAAAAGGCGTAGTAACGCGAATAAAGGCGTAGTAACGCGAAACAAAAGGCGTAATAATGCAAATCAAAAGGCGTAGTAAAGCGAATGAAGGCGTAGTAAAGCGAACCAAAAGGCGTAATAACGCAAATTAAAACGCATTTTAATGCCAATTTTATACCATATTTATACTTATTAAATGGCTTAGTAACTTGATAAAAGGAAGAACAATATTGATCTAGATTTATTGCTCAAGATATAAATTCGGATAGAATAATATAATAAACATTTACAATAACTATCATTCCATTTGCACAGTAATAATGCAAACTATTTTTCATAAACTAATGAAGACTCTTTAATATTTGCCAATATAAGATGACTTGGTGACTTATAGGTCATAAAGTATTACCTCCTTCAAATAACCATCCTCCTATGAAGTTTGAATATTGTGGGTCAAATGGAACTTAAGTTATGCTCTGGAAACCAAATTGCTAACGGACGGACGGACAGGCGGACGGACGGACGGACGCCAGGGGATATAACATAATATGCCCGAAATTCTTTCGATGGAAAGCATTGTTGGCACTATACATATAATCTCACAACCTGCACCTTTCTTACATTCTGAGAACCAAACAAATTCAGCGCCTTCTGTGCTTTGATTTAAATCTTTTATCAGGAAATGCTTTCGTGAGATTAGAGGTTACTATCACCCAACTATAGATACTTTTCGATAAAGACAAATAAGACAATGTCTCCTATAATTGTAACTTAACAGAAACAATTTTACCCCTCTAAGCATACCTAACAATAATTAGAAATAATTTCGCCCTAATGTGACTTACGTATATCTTAAGGTTTTTCCAAATCTTGTCACCTTATATTGACAAATATCAAAGAATCTTCATTAGTTTATGACAAATTGTGTGAAATATTACTGCGCAAATGGAATGATAGTTATTGTAAATGTTTATTATATTATTCTATCCGAATTTATATCTTGAGCAATAAATTCAGATCAATATTGTTCTTCCTTTTATCAAGTTACTAGGCCATTTGATAAGTATAAATATGGTATAAAATTGGCATTAAAATGCGTTTTAATTTGCGTTATTACGCCATTTGGTTCGCGATACTACGCCTTTCGTTTAGCGTTACTACGCCTTTTGATTTGCGTTATTACGCCTTTTGTTTCGCGTTACTACGCCTTTATTCGCGTTACTACGCCTTTTGATTTGCATTATTACGCCTTTTGGTTCGCGTTACTATGCCTTTATTCGCGTTACTACGCCTTTTGATTTGCGTTATTACGCCTTTTGTTTCGCGTTATTACGCCTTTAATCGCGTTATGACGTCTTTTGATTCGCGTTATAACGCCTTTATTCGCGTTTCTACGCCTTTTTTTCGCGTTATTACGCATTTTGATTTGCGTAATTACGCCTTTTGATTCGCGTAATAACGCCTTTATTCGCTTTATAACGCCTTTGCATTTTTATTTTTTTTTATTTTATTTGACACTATTAGGCTTTCGTAGTATATCATAAAAGAATAATTATTATATAAAGGATTTCTGATGTCATCACAGCGTGGAAAAATTGAAGCTGTTGTTTAATCAATATAACCGAATATATCGTCCTTTATTTACAGGAATAATAGTGTATTTGAGTTTTATACAAACTTCAGAAATTCTTTCATTGCAGAATGTTTACTATTTCAACAATTAGCAATACATGCCGTTTCACAACAATGAAATAATCGTTTAAACCACTATGTTAACTTTTTAATAATTATTTTAATGTGCAAACGGTTTGAATACAATAACATTTATAATGGCTCATTATTATAGCAAAAATGTAAACACTGTTGGCCTCTGAGTTATTATTTATATTCTATTTTAACCATTATTGACTTTTTTAGGAACGGAGAAGAACAAATAGTACATAAGAAGAACCCATGGACTAATTGCCATAACAAGTAAATATGTTTATGAAAATTTGACTGAATGATATTTTTAACAAGCAAAACATATTTGTTACTCGGCTTGTATCAACAGGTGCTCGTATTACATGTTTTTTTATAATTTTGTTATACAGTTTAGTTTGTGACTTAAGGCAATCCGAATCAATAATGAATGTTTCCTGCATATCATTTTAAATTTGACAAGTATTTTATGGGACCCGGTAATTTCTTAAAATACAACCCTTTTGTACGAAGGCGTTATAACGCGAATCAAAAGGCGTAATAACGCGATTGAAGGCGATATTACGCGAATCATAAGGCGTAATTACGCAAATCAAAAGGCGTAATAACGCGAAAAAAGGCGTAGCAACGCAAATAAAGGCGAAGAAACGCGAATAAAGGCGTTATAACGCGAATCAAAAGGTGTAATAACGCGAAAAGAGGCGTAATAACGCGAATCAAAAGATGTAATAACGCGAATAAAGGCGTAATAACGCGAATCAAAAGGCGTAATAACGCGAATAAAAGCGTTATGACGCGAATTAAAAGGCGTAATAACGCCTTTATTTGCATTATAACGCGAAACAAAAGGCGTAATAACGCAAATCAAAAGGCAAAGTAACGCGAATAAAGGCGTAGTAACGCGAACCAAAAGGCGTAATAACGCAAA